ATGTCACGTTAAAATAATGAAAGAAATGGTATATTTATTATATACCATTTCCTTCATTATTTTAACGAATTTGTAATATTTATGTAAAAAATAGTAATTTGTTTTCTGTACAAGCACACAAAACACAAACTCACTTATGTTATCTACAATCATTCATACATAATTTTCAAATACATACGCAGTCAATACATCATTCAATTACATACATTCATTACTTCACATCGAAAATATACACATTTCAAAGTTATCTTACTTACAAAATTGTGACTGAGCACATTTATTTTCATAAACTATTATTAAGTATATTTTCATACATATACACATTACTTATTTACATAATGCATAAGCAAAATTTTCATAATTATTACTTAGTCGTCTCATGTCATATAAATTTGTCTAATTTTTTTTTAAAACTGTAATCTATTTATGTATATAAAAATATTTAGATTCATTGTAAGTACATTGTTAAAATATGAGCACTATTTGCAAACCCCTAAAAATACTTATGCCTACATTTTTGTGTATGGGCTATAGAGATAACACATAGAATTATTTGCTTGTTATATAATATGACTGATACGGAATCATTCTTAACAAAATTTCTCTATACTTTGAGTGTAGTAATAATATTTACTTAGTAGTATTATTACTACACTACATGTAGTAATAATATAACTTTTACAAATTTTAAGCGCACCCTATTTTATGATGAATGTAGTGGGTATAGTGCTAAATATTGTAAGCCAGCATTTAATCTACTGCTGAATGGCCTTAGTGGTAGTTTCGTAATAAGCCACTCGATGTCTCGCGCTTTTGTATGTATTATAAGTGTTTCATATTATACCGTCATTATATTAAAACTTTTCTATACTATATATAATTTTTTACGGGATGTTATAAATAGGCTAGCCAGTAGGAGAACATTACTAATATTTTACATAGTTTCATTATGTGATAAGATAAATATTAACAGGCTGCGGTTTATTGGTGTAGGTGTTGCGAATTTTTGGTGTATTATCGATTTGGAAAAATGTTTTTGTATACATTTAAGTGATAAATAAATTAGATAATAAAGTATATGAGTTGGAATCCTATTCGGTTTCTGAATCTGCTCTTTTTCGATGTTGAGGGCTGTTTCCATTTAGATCCTAGCCCTAGAACGTCCATTAAAATTTTAAGTCAAAATATCAGGAGTATATCACACAATTTCTCTGAGTTTCTTTCAAAATTTTTTTCAAAGTTAATTGTGAGAACGAAAGTGCACTGGGATGTTATTATCTTAACTGAGTGTTGGCCGCAAAGTGTTCGCCCACTTCCTGTTATTAACGGTTATAAGATATTTAGTACAGAAAACAACTGCACACAAAATTATGGCGTTGTCGCACATAAACAGTGATCTTAATGTATCGTTTGAAGAAATTTGCTTCCGTAACGCAAAGGTGTGCATGAACATGTCAGACAATAAGAAAAATTGCAAGAATGAGCAGTAATAACATGGTTTGTGCAGGTTGCATATTTATTATTATGTTTGGAGAAGGACAAGTACTTTGTTTTATCCACGTTGAGGGTTAACACATTATCGCGAACCCATTTGGACACTCTGTTGAAGCCAATCTGAGCGAAGTTAAACTCACACTCCTGCATCTTGTGAGTATACAAGCTTGATTGTGAATGTGGTCTCTCTTATATAGGACAAACCAAAAGATCAATTAGGACCCGCGTAAAAGAACATATAGCTGATGTGAAGCATCAACGTTCCGGGAAGTCTGCAATTTGTGATCATATCCTAGACGGCCCCAACCATTACATCAGATTTGATAGACCACAAATCCTCGCGAAAGAACACCGATTCCTACCAAGGATGATACGTGAGGCTATTGAAATTAAAAAACATCCTAATTTCAATAGAGAAGGAGGCTGGGTGCTACCACCTGCTTGGGATCCTATAATCAATAAAATTAAAACTAAACCCAAGCATACCACTGCAAGACCTCAGGACATAGTCAGATCATTTTGCATAGATCGGACCATAAACAATAATTAAAAAAGCTGAAGGTACTCCGGGTTTAACAATGACATCGGGACGTCAGTCATCTCAGTCCTCCGTGACCATGGGTGCTGGAAAGCGCCCGAAACGTCGGGAATTAAAAATAAAAAGTAAAAATAAACGCGATAAAATCCGTAAAAGTAGTTTTATTCATAAATCAATATTCATTTTAGCGAGATCAGTTGTAATTCCAATATAATTTGTACGAAATATTGTCGTCATTGTGTGTTGTTTTGGGACCTTCTTATCGAGAAAAATTGCTACAGTTTCATGATCAGTTAACGCAGAATTTACAACAAGAGTTTTAGCTGGTAGTTTGGTTTTTAGCATAACATGATCTAGGCAGCTATCTTTACGGGTAGGAAAAGTATCAGCTGGTAACTAGCCATGTAAAGCAGTAATATTTAAGTAGTTAAGCTTATGTAAGTATTGTTGAGAGTCAATAACATTGATGTTAATATCTCCTATAAAATCAACATTATTAATATTAGCTGTTTTTATAAGCAAAGAATCTAGTGAATTTATGAATTCAGTACAATCTCTAAAGCTGGAGAACGATATAAAGCTAAAATAACAATATATTTATCTTTAAAAGAAGACAATTTGCGTTACGGAAGCAAATTTCTTCAAACGATACATTAAGATCACTGTTTATGTATGCAACAACGCCATAATTTTGTGTGCAGTTGTTTTCTGTACTAAATATCTTATAACCGTTAATAACAGGAATTGGGCGAACACTTTGCAGCCAACACTCAGTTAAGATAATAACATCCCAGTGCACTTTCGTTCTCACAATTAATGAAAGAAACTCAAAGAAATTGTGTGATATACTCCCTGATATTTTGACTTAAAATTTTAATAGACGTTCTAGGGCTAGGATCTAAATGGAAACAGCCCTCAACATCGAAAAGAGCAGATTCAGAAACCGAATAGGATTCCAACTCATATACTTTATTATCTAATTTATTTATCACTTAAATGTATATAAAAACATTTTTCCAAATCGATAATACTCCAAAAAATCGCAACACTTACACCAATAAACCGCAGGCTGTTAATATTTATCTTATCACATAATGAAACTATGTAAAATATTAGTAATGTTCTCCTACTGGCTAGCCTATTTATAACATCCCGTAAAAAATTATATATAGTATAGAAAAGTTTTAATATAATGACGGTATAATATGAAACACTTATAATACATACAAAAAGCGCGAGACATCGAGTGGCTTATTACGAAACTACCACTAAGGCCATTCAGCAGTAGATTAAATGCTGGCTTACAATATTTAGCACTATACCCACTACATTCATCATAAAATAGGGTGCGCTTAAAATTTGTAAAAGTTATATTATTACTACATGTAGTGTAGTAATAATACTAGCTAAGTAAATATTATTACTACACTCAAAGTATAGAGAAATTTTGTTAAGAATGATTCCGTATCAGTCATATTGTATAACAAGCAAATAATTCTATGTGTTATCTCTTTAGCCCACACACAAAAATGTAGGCATAAGTATTTTTTAGGGGTTTGCAAGTAGTGCTCATATTTTAACAATGTACTTACAATGAATCTAAATATTTTTATATACATAAATAGATTACAGTTTTAAAAAAAATTAGACAAATTTATATGACATGAGACGACTAAGTAATAATTATGAAAATTTTGCTTATGCATTATGTAAATAAGTAATGTGTATATGTATGAAAATATACTTAATAATAGTTTATGAAAATAAATGTGCTCAGTCACAATTTTGTAAGTAAGATAACTTTGAAATGTGTATATTTTCGATGTGAAGTAATGAATGTAAGTAATTGAATGATGTATTGACTGAGTATGTATTTGAAAATTATGTATGAATGATTGTAGGTAACATAAATGAGTTTGTGTATTGTGTGCTTGTACGGAAAACAAATTACTATTTTTTACATAAAATATTACAAGTTCATTAAAATAATGAAAGAAATGGTATATAATTATAAGTAAAACAATATAAATTAAGAAAAAAAATTGAAGTTACGTTAATAAAAAATAAAAATATAAATTTCTTCGCAACCTTCCGCTAAACAAATACAATGATGTGTCTTACCTGGATTGAAGAGCACCTCCCGCCCTCCCTCAATTGCATGCACTAAGTCCGTCACCACTAGTCCCAGCACCACTACTCCCAACACCACTATTCCAGGCAAGACACACCATCGACGATAATACGACACGTGTTTCGCCTCTACACGAGGCATCTTCAGGTAATGTACACTCTACGGCGGCTGACTTCAGCCGCCGTAGAGTCTATATTACCTGACTTCAGCCGCCGTAGAGTCTACATTACCTGAAGATGCCTCGTGTAGAGGCGAAACACGTGTCGTATTATCGTAGATGGTGTGTCTTGCCTGGAATAGTGGTGTTGGGAGTAGTGGTGCTGGGACTAGTGGTGACGAACTCCGTGCATGCAATTGAGAGAGGAGGTCTCTTCAATCCAGGTAAGACACATCATTGTATTTGTTTAGCGGAAGGTTGCGAAGAAATTTATATTTTTATTTTTTATTATAATGGATTTCCACAAAGTAACGCCTGATTCTATCAATTATGAAGTTACGTTGCAAAATATGTTACAGTATAGTAATTTCTGTCGTTGCAGCTTCATCAGATCTTCTTCACCATCTAGTCGTATATAGGTAGCACCATCCGTTTTACGTAAATAGACCTTACCACGCGTCGTCCAACAGTAAGCAAAACCGTTGGTCTTGGCAAAGTCTCGGACCAAGAAGAATATTTTTTTTACCTTTTCTGTTAAGTTTTCGGAAACGAAAATAGGTATTGGAGTGCCTGTAATTTTAAATGTGACGAATTTAATTTATCGTCTTTTCTCTCCTTGTTAAATTTCTTGACACTTTGCAGGATAGTCTCCTTTTTAAGGACAGAGCTGAACTCGACTATTAAGGTGTTTTGTTTATTTTTATTGAATCCCGTATTTCTGAAGGTTGCACTGATAATTTGAGCAACAGAGCAAGATTTATTACATAATTAGCTAAGTCTTCCTTTGATTCCCCTTGTTTTATCGGAATATTTTTAATTTCCAGACAGGCTGCCCGGAGGTGTCTTTCCATATTTTCCAATTTAGCCTCAAGTGATTGAATGTAGATAAGATTCTTATTTCTTTCAGACTCCAGTTTTTCTATTTTGAGTATTATTTCATCATACTTTTCAGAAATAAGGTCCTGGGACTTTCGTATTTCGGTATTTTGCACCCTAATATCATTTATAACAGATTGAAGAGTGGTAAATTTTGAATTAAATAAGGCCAGTAGCTTAGATTTAAAAGCTTTGAGTTCATCATTACAATCTCCATGTTCCCGTTTCCGCTTATTTCTACTAGCGATAGCGACATTTTCGGTCGAACCTTTTGTGCTTGAATCCGACTCACAATTTGATGTTTGCAGATCCTTTGGAGGATAACGCTTTAGCGGCATGTTCTTTAAAAAGGCGGTAGATGTGATAATAATTAACTTTGTTTAATTACGACAGTTGCAATATTCGTCCGCGTGTGAGACGTAAGATACCAGGAGCACAGGTAACTTAGCAACAGTTATCACTAACCGGTACGCCAGAGAGGACCGCAACTAAGGGGTGGTGCTAAGCGATGATTGACAGGTGAGTCACTCTTTAGGTCGAGCACGGAATTTTCCACGGCACCCATGGTGTTTTAGGCTCTTACAGATTTTGCACTCCTATTATTTTCACTTAATTAAATATTGATGAAATTTATATTTAAACAAGAAAGACAACAACACTAAACACGTCTGCTCGAAATCGAGATCCGGGAGGAAGGGAAATTATGAGTACCCATAACCAACGAGCATGTATGCGTAGGTATATGAATGTGGAGGAGCTGAGAGAGGTGTGTCAGGATCATGCCAAAGGGAAGTTTGTAGTCTTTGCCTCCACATTTGGGTGACAGGCGTGAGTGTTTATGTATGTATGTATTATTAAAAGCCGTCTGTTTTTAAATTACCTCTGGTACCAAAAAAAAAACTTCTGTGCTGAGAAGAAACAGCAAGTGACATTTTAAATAAACAGGCTAAAACAGATTAAAATCATGTATGAAACAACACAAAAAAATTTTTTAATATATATTGTTAACGATCACGTCATTCTCAGGGGTTATATCGTCCATAAACTCCTTCATATTATAATAACCCTTTGTATACAAACTTATTTTAATAAAGTTTTTTGAACTTTGAGCAGGTCAAGTTTTTTACATTTTCTGGGATTTTGTTGCAAAAGCGTATACATCGCCTCAAGAATGTATTACTGACTCGGATCTATATCTGTTCCTAGTATTTACAGAATGAATATCACTTATTTTCGTAAGACTACTTTTATATTATTATTATGTATTATTAAGTACGTATATTAAATATTCGTACTCGTAATAGTGAAATAAACGCGATAAAATCCGTAAATTTAGATTTATTCGAAGAAAATATTTATTAAAAGACTTTTTCTCTTACTTTAGATTTCACATATCGACCTATCCCCTAACTTCGCCAGCACGTTGATGGGCATCACCAATGGCTGCGGCAACATTTTCTCTATCATGGCACCTTTGAGCGTGTCACTCGTTGTGAAAGACGAGGTAAGTTGACACTTACTCCTCTATTGGACTGGTGAGAATCATATTTGAGTCAATCAAGTTAATTTTAAATAAGTAAGATTTTTTATATAACTATTTTGATTGGATCCATAGATCAATAATCTTTTTAACGATAATTACGTATTTTTTTTAGTCAAGTGCATCAGAACGGCGAAAACTTTTCTTCATATCGATTGCGTTCTACTTCATAAGCAATCTTTTCTTCATTTTATTCATGTCAGGAAGAATTCAAGACTGGAACGAGCTACAACCTTGATAAGTTTGGTATTGGTGGTGTAAGAATATCCACTACCCCATATCATGCCGTGGGTGTCATACGAGGCGACAGGGGGAAACTGGACCAGACGATGAGCAGCGGCATCGTTCTGATAACACTAGCTAAGCGTGGCAACTGAGGCATTCCATCTTAGTCCTCACGGGTGACAGCACGTCTGCATTTTGATTCGTAACCGAGGATAGATGTGGATGTCTATGGGCCACCGCAATCACTTACCAACAGATGGACTGTGTACTCGTTTGTCACAATATCCTATAAAAAAAACTTTGAAGAATGTTTGTTCAGCAGTGAACTTTTGTAAAGCTGTAATGGTAATTGTAAAGCCGATACTTTGTCACCACTGAGGACTAATATGGAATGCCTCGTTTCTCGTTCGTTTCACACTTTACAAGGACAAACATCCAGACCTGGAAAATTTATTTGAAGGGCATGCAAATACTTGTTCTGTGTGGAACTTGAATTCGTCGTGAAAATAAGAATATTACAAAATAATGTTTATTAAATATAGATTCAAGACTACAGTATTTCTTAATGATTTTTTTACCACTGATTCTGATATAACTTTCTCTTCCTCTATACTGGGAAGAAACAGTATTAAGCTCAGCGGTATTTCTTTTCATAGAATTTTTGTGGGAGACGGCAAAAATTATTTATTATATGTATTTTTTCCAGAGAAAGGAGTAAAAGAGGCCGAGGAAGTTGACAGTAGTAGAAAAGCAAAACTGTCGTCGAAAAGTTTTGACAGTAATCGTTGTTTTTTTAAACGCTTGTCATATTTAGGTAAATGAGAAATTTATCTATGAGTTTACGATAGCTTATGTAAATCTAATGTCATGGAAGCTATATAATAATGGATGAACATACGTAATGTTTTAGTACATTGTACACACGCTCACGACATTTTTATGATAATGGTGCAGTTACTTTAGTCCATTGTAATACCCATACATATAAATATTATTGAAGTGACTGTGTGTAATATTCAAATACCTTACTTATATTAAGCTCAGGGTCATTTGCGTGTTATTGAGACACATTAAATACCCATTTTTATAATGTTTGTATGTGTGCCTGTCTGCCTGGCCGAGCTAATCTTTGTACTGACTTCACCTGCTGTGATCGAACTTTACAAACAGATAGAGCAGTGCCAGAAAGTGATCTAGGCCATATTTTATCTGATAAACTTAGTTTTTTTTTTTTTGTAAAACCAACAAAGATTGATTTCCACGGTAATAGATCCTACACAAGCCAAGCCAGGGCGGGTCGCTTGTCATAAATATAATCTTATATACGTAGATAATTGATCAATACACGAAAAATTATACAATTTTATGTTATTAGGTAAATGAACGGACGTAATAAAAGCGTGGAGTGGATGTTTCTTATAATTTTGTTTTGGGTATTGTAATCACAGAGAAAGTAATATAACGGATATTGCCAGTTTTGAGCTCCTTCAGATTGGCGAGCTAGTAAACTTGTATATCTGCAAGGTGACAATGTTATGGAAAAAGTCGTGATTAATATAATAAATCTTATATATTTTGCGCGCTAAATAGCAGTGATTGTACGTTAGTGTTCTGTGTTCTTGTCTAAGGGCAAAGGGAAAAAGTAAAATAACAGGCTATTTGAAATTCCAGCACAGTTTTCAAATATGGTAACGCATCTGTAGCTTTCTTTGTTGGAGGTTGGTTGTCAGTCAATGTCCATGGGCTCCAGTAGCCACTTACCATCAGGTGCACTAGTTTTTTTTTTACTTCTGATTTATAAAACAAATATGGCTATAGTTAATATATCTAGAATAGATTTTAAGTATACAGAAAAATATTAATTAGATGGAATATGAAAGGTGAATGACAATATTATAAAATTATTAGATGTTATTTAAACATTGTTGTAAATATTATAAATTAAAATACTCAGACTAACAAAGAAAAAAAATTATAATCAATGACATGGCTAAGTTTCATAGGTTTCTTCAGCAGTTAACGTAGACGGGTTATAAAAAGATACAATAAAATGAGTGCTTGTACGTGTGTTTTGCGTCACTTGAAATTAAAATGTACCTGTGCACCGGTCCGTCCATTTTTGTTTATTGGTTTGATTTTTGCCATTTTGACTCGATTTATCGGTTGTTCACAATTAACTAAAATTTTAACTTGCCAGGCGTATCTAAAGGGAACAAATTTATGTTCTATGTTTCATTCCTCAAAGCATGCATATACTAATATAGGGCGGCCATGTGCAGGCTTAACCCACGTTAAGACAAGGTTACGTTTATATTTTTATTTTTTACGTCCGGGAGTATATTTATATATAGATTAAGTACCTATATTTAAATAGTTTGTTACAATGTTATTTTTGTTTTTTTATTATATTTTTGGTATCAGTCATGATGTCATTCTTATATATAATTTTAAAAAATGCTGCTTGTCACATGGCTTAGTCTTGCAGCCTTCAGTATATTTGTGCAAGAATGTCGCACGAAGATTTGCAGATACCATCGTAACAAAATAACGAATGACTTTTAACCAATGAAAATATGTTTTTCTTCTAATTTGAAATTATTGAACTGTTGACAGTGATGTAAATAAATGATAAATTATTGTGCAATTAGTAACAGATTTTCAAAGACAGGATTATTTTAAAGCCTGTTAAACCTGTGACGTACTTAGCAAGTGATGATTGAATCAATGGTAACATATTCACGTAAGATAAAAAAAAATCAGTCCATGATATGTCCAAGTATTTCCCATAACGATATTTGGGATGAAAGCTTCTGGTTATTTATTATGCATTACTAATTTTCAAATAGCCAATTGTGTCTTGTTTTGGCTGTGAAATAGGTATTTAATTAAATTACGTCATATCATCATATGATGTATACATATGATGTATCACTATTTCTCAATAATATACAAGTGCGAAATAAAACGTGGTATAAATACATTGGTGCTATTAATATTTCTAATTCGTGTTTATCATCATCAATCAGTAAAAGCCCACAGCTGTTCAGGGGCTGCACCCAGGCTCGTCTAGTTCTTATGGTATTTGTGCTGTTAGCCTTTTGATTTTTACAGCTTCATCGGTCTCAGGGTAAGCAAACACGTATTGCAGGGCAGCAGGGCCAAGTGCAACTTGTATAGATCCATACCCACTAGTTGCACCGCACTGCCCGCGCAGCCCCCTTCGATGCTGTCGTACACACTTCCTAAACACTCTTTTTTAAAAGTGGCAAATCGCTTAATGAGTGGGCTTCAATAGGAATCCATAAGAGTAGAAAAAATTTATATAACCTTTACATGAAAGGTCATATAATCGAAGTGTTTCACTTAGAGAATATGTAAAAAAATATTCCAAATATTTAAAAGTGTGAGTTTCGCAGCCAAGTCATTTACATTTAAAAAACAAAATTAAGAATGCCTCTAATAAAATTAAAATCACTTCGAGTATAGTGAATAGGGAAACTGGCATGATGAAATTAAACAACTCAAATTTTGAGAATAGTTTAAAAAATCTGATCAGAATGTTGCAACAGCTTA